TTTTGGTGTGTAACATGAGTCAAAAGGATAGACAGTAAGAGACAGGAAAGAGTTAACTTATATGATGGAAGGAGGGGAGGGTGTTTTGGGTTTTGTTTTCTGATAAGAAATATTTGAGCATATTTGAGGTCCATTTACTGGCATAGGAAAGAATGAAAATATAAAGAACAACTAATGGATCACAGTCTTTTTAATGACCAATTAGTGGCTGGGTTAGTGTGTACAGATGGAGAAGTCAGCCTGGGAGAGATACTCCTGCCTTCCAATAAGATATATATATATATATATATATATATATATATATATATATATATATATATATATATATAAAATCATTTTTTCCTGGTGTTAGTGTTCATTACAGAACATTTGGAAAACACACAAAATGATGCATTAATGTTTATTGAGCACTTAGAATAATTTAGGCTTTGGTCTGTGTAATTTACATGTATTAATTTATTCAGTCTTTAAATTACCATCTGAGATAGGTCCTATGGCCATCTTTTTGTTATAGATGGGAGAGATTAAGTCAATTGACCAAGGTCTTGCTGGAAAGACTGGTAAACAGTGGAGCCATGTGGTCTGGGTCCAGAGTAATTTCATACTATGCACACAGAAAAGCCTAAAGAGAAATTATCCACCCAAAGAACAAACATTTATGGAATGCTTAGATAGATGCAGATAGGAAAATCATTAGTTTACCTTTGACCCTTCTCTTTTCTTGGAGAAGTAGGTGGGGACTCTGAAAAGGGAGATGGACCAGAACACTAGGCTGGAGCTTGAGAGTGACTGTTTGAAGATGCTGTTTCTGGGAAAGAAGAAAAGAAATTAATTAAGAATTAGAAGCAAACCGAAGCAGTACTAAGTCTGAGGAGGATCAACTGGCATAGTTCCATGATTATCTCTGTGTGCTCTGGACTGTTGAGTAGGAGTAGCTGAAGTCTTGCCGTGGAGGCATAAGATGGTAAAGAGACTTGGACAGTCAGGGAGAGTGTATCTTCATTTAGGATTCCTAAATGCAGACCCTGGTTCAAAGAGTTTTAGAGCAAAAAGTTTACTAGGCAGTGATCCCAGAAAAGCACTGATAAAGAGAGAGGGGGGTTCGAGACAGAAGGGGAAAAAAGTCAATGAAGGGTGTGCACTGAGCACCTCTGGAGCTTAGTCTTCTCAGACACTCCGAGAACCAGTGTGGAAATATACTCAGAAGCTCCCCTCTGAGGGGCCTGGCACACCAGGGTGCACAGGTTCTCCTCTGCTGTGGGTTAGGACTGCTTCTGGGACAGCTGTCACGTGTGAGGGGAGATTGGATTCTGGTGGCCAGAAAATGGCCTCAGGCAAAAAGATGGTGCTTGTTGGAAGCCTGACCTACCAGAGCCTCCTGGAATGTAAGGCCTGGGGGGCAGCAAGGCAGGGGTCAGCCATGTCTGCTTCAGATTGCCCAGGTGTTTGCAGCTGGATCTGACAGCCTGTGAAACTGTGAGGAGGGGAGAAGTAGGATGAAGGTCCTTTTGAAAATTATTTTGATAGGTAATACTGGCACATGGCTTAAAATTCAAGAACAAAAGAATACACAGTAAAAATTATGACTCTTCACTATCCGTCTCTGTCTCCTTCTGATGCTAGTTTCTTATATACCCTTTAAAAAATATTATAATAGGTATTGTGCATGTGTGTGTACATGTGTTTGTATTATGGGAATAATATTATGTTGTATTTTATATATTTATACATATTAAAGGTATAATTATATATATATATGTGTGTGCATATGTTTATCTGTGAATCCAAGTCTGCATATGAATCTACAAATATACATATATGTGGTACTATTTGTGCATGTTGACCTTTTATAAATATATCTTGAGGAACTTTTCATATTGTTGTGTATAGATTTGCCTTAATTTTTAAAATGGATGATAGCATTCGATTTTCTGAATGTAACATAATTTATATAATGAGTCCTTTGTTGTGTTGTTTTCTATCTTTCTTTTTTTTTTTTTTCTGAACAGAGTATTCTTGTATGCATGTTACTGAGCACACTCCAGGTATCTCAGTGAATGGAATTGCTGGGTCAAAGGCATGTGCCTCTAAAATATTGATAGCTAGTGCTGAATTTTCTCAAGCCAATGTATACTCCTGTGGGACAGAGCATCATAATGAGGCCAAAGAGCAGAAATAGAGGGAGTAGGGAGTAGAAGAGGAGGGTGGAGCAGTTGGACAATGGAAGGTCAGAAAGCAAGATTCTGTTGGAGCAATTCCTGGGTTGACAAGGTCCAGAGCATGGGTGCACCAGGAAGTTATTGGCATAGGGTGGAGTGCAGGCAAAGGTCAAGGAAGCAGAGGAGGTCAAAGACCTGGGAAGTGGGAGAATGGCTCACCCAGATGATGTGCCAGCCAGACCATCCTGGTGAGTTCATCATGGTCTTAACTTGTGCAATGAGATTAGAGAAAACTTATCTTCCCTTCGAGTCTAGCAGGGAATAAGGAGTGGGACACTTCCCAGAACCTCTTTCTACTCTGTGGAGCGAACTCTTCACATATGAGCTTGCTGAGAAGATAGTGCATCAATCAACATGGTCGCCTCAGGGGGACAGGCAATGATGTCTCCATTTTTTAGATGGCATCTGTGGCAGTGGGATAGGCAGGGCTGTTTTCCTAAGACCCCCACAGCTTCAAGTGAGTATCAGTTAGGCCTGTGGATAACTCATTTTACATCTGCAGTTCCCTACGTGTTTCTGACACTGTCAAGCCAACCCTGGCCTGGGTATTCCTTTCTTGATAATAAAAGCAATGGCAACAATAACAACCATGAGGATTAGTGTGCAGAGTGTGTTAGGAGCGGCATTCAGCAGCAGGTAGCAGAGACCTGGGAAACACTGGTATAAACTGGAGCCGAGTTCTCTTTTCTCTATATAACCTGAAGTCCAGGGATCAGAACAAGTCACAGCAGCTCCATGTGTCCTTGGTGTCTCAGTCTCCTTTACGCTGTGTCTGCCTAGTGCCAACTCTTATCCTCCAGGCCCTTTCCTAGGTTCTAGGTGGCTGCTGGAACACTAGCCACTGGGACCACATTCCATGCTGGAGGGAGGAGGAGGTGTAGGGGTCTGGGGCAAAAAGGTGAATTGGCATCTCTCACTACCTTTCAGTGAATGATACCCCAAACCCCACTCAGTACAGGAAGCTTACAACTCATTATATGGTTTACAGCCATATGGTCATCCTTACCTGCAGGAAACCTGGGAAACAGATTTTTAGCTGGGCTCATTGCTGCCCTCAACAAATCAAAAAGAAGTGAATGGATCTTGGCTAGGCATTTGGTGGTCTCTTGCAGAGGTCCCAGGCATTTCATATTTAAAATACTCTATTTTATTTTTATTGTGGTAATATATACATAAAATAAACATTACTATTCTAACTATTTTAAGTGTAGAATACATTGACATTAAGCACATTCACACTGTCACCACTATCCATTTCTATAACTTTCATCCCAAATGGAAACACTGTACCCATTAAATAGTGATGTCTCATTTTCCTTCCCCTCAGATACTAGTGATTTCTATTCTACTTCCTGTTCCCATGAATTTAGTATCTCATATAAGTGAAATCATACAGCATTTGTCCCTTGCTATTTAGCTTATTTCACTCAGTATGTATCAAAACTTCATTCCTTTTTATGGCTGAATTACATTCCATTGTGTGGATAGACCACATGTTGTTTATCTATTCATCTGTTGCTGGACATTTAGGTTGTTTCCAGCTCTTGGCAATTGTGTATATGCTGCTAGGAATATTGGTGTACAAGTTTGAGTCCCTGTTTTCAGTTCTTTGGGGTATATACTGAATCATGGGTAATTCTGTTTAACTTTTGTGTACTTTCCAAATGCGTGTTCCATTTTATATTTTATTCAGTATTCACTGACTTGGAATTGGTGAAACCAAACATTGAACCTCTGATCTAGAGGGGCTGCCCTCTCTGGATCCTAGGGATTCTCACAGATGGTGGTGGTGCCTCCACTGTACCCATTAGGGGATTCTGGTTTGATAGATGCTGATGTGAGCTTGATGGAATTATCTTCATCTTAGAAATTAGGAACAAATGGAAGAGGATAGACCCCATTCTCAGTGGTAATCAGAGCTCTGCTGATGACAGTCCTGGCTCTGCCCTTAGGAAGGGTTCTCACACAATTGTGGACAGCCTCATTGGTCTACACTGGGTTCCTTTGGCCGGTCTGGACTTGTAAAGACTACACCAAGAGGTTCCAGGAAGGAGCTATTTCTATCCTCATGCTCACTCTCAAACCAGCCTGTCACCACTTTATTAGTAAAGAGAAGATGAACTTAGTGTATTCCATGACTTTGTGGTAGTTCAGAGCGAGTGTTGCACTATGGTGAAGAACATGGTCCACCAAGCCAGGTGGATTGATTTCAATCCCAACTCTGCTATCTATTTGTTGTTTGACCTTTACTGAAATTATTTAACATCTCTGTGCCTCAGTTTCCTCATGATTCTTTGACTAACTTTACATGATTGTGGTGAGCATTCCCTGAATTAACCTGGGTAGACAAGTGCTTCAGAAGGGTGCCTGCACTCTGGAAGTGCTCTCTGTGTGTGGTGGTGGTGGTGGGGGGGGCAGTGTTAGTAGTATACATGTTGGTAGTTACAACTATACCCAGTGGATTTAAATTCCTACACTGTTAACACTTAATAGCAGATGAACTATGGACTGCCACGGTAACTATGGAAATTAAAAGCAAAACAAAACAAAAAGGGCTGGGGATATGGCTCAGTGGACAGACACAGCCAGATGGAATGAGAATGCATTGGTCTTTGTCTTTCAACCAACCTCACAGGGCTGGAAAATGCTAACCACTTGGCCTCTTCTTCCTGCAAATTGCAGCTCATTTCTTCCAAGTTTATTGCATCACTGTGAGCATTTACAGAGGCAAAGGTCAGGCATGATAAACTTTATCACTAAGCAAATATCAAGATACAGTAAACCAAAGTAGCCTGTCAGCTCTGGTTTGCTGTTTATGGCCAGGTCTGGGTTCTGAAACTGGGGAAGCTGGAGTAAAACACAGAGACGGTTCAGAGGCCAAGACATGAGAAAGAGCTGGAATTCTTGGGTAATGTACTTGGATCAGATATTAGCCATTGAAAATGGGTGTGGTTGAGAAACCTAGGAGAATGAGGATACGGTATGGGATTGAATCCAGGAGGTCAAGAACAGTTTGTGAAACAGAAAAAAACTCATTTACAAGATAATGTCAACTCTATTATGACCCCTTGTATATGAACTTTTTCCATTGTATCTGTGATTTGTTTTATGGTTTTTGACATTCACCAATAATGTGGTCAGTCTGTAGCAAGAAAAGATACAATGTGTAATCATATGTAATTTATTTTACTCCTTTCTTGTAAAATGAATCCATTATTGGCTGGAGAGCATTATTTTCATCTCCCACTGAAGCTCTCCCATAGACGACTCTGATTCTCTGATGGGAAGCATACTTATAATAAAATGGATAAAATAGTTGTATTTTGAAAGTCAAAAAAAAAAAAAAAAAAAGAAAAAAAAAAGAAAATGGGTGTGGAATGGAGCACCTCAGCCTCTGAGGAATTGGGTTAATTTTCATACAGCATGGAATTTAAAATACTGGAAAGGGTTCCTGTAACTGGTGAAATTCAAGGACTTCTCTATGATCATCCAACTGTCATAGAGAAATGGAAGCTACACCAATAGCTGGGGGGTTGTAGCAAAGACCGAAGGGTGAAGCTCAGGCTCCAGCCTCAAAACCCAGGTTTGGATCTTCAGGGTGGAGCTAGGCATTTATTTTGCGGTCACCTAGCGCCACCTATGGCTCAGTATGTTTAACTGCAATCACAAGAGAGCAGGCGGGGATACCTTCAGACACAACGTTGCGATTTGATTTTGATTTTTAAAACTAGTCAAACCTCCCTTTTGCCTTTTAAAGCCGTTTTCGTAGTTTTGATGTTTGGCTTTGTCTCAGCTGCAGCACTATTTGTGAAGATCAATAATTCTTTCTTGGGCGCGGTGGGGGAGAGGGGATTTTGCATTGAGATACAGACGCGTTATGAGGAAGGACCCGGATGCCTGGATTCCGTTTGTCAGTGTATTTTTAATAGCCAGGAAATTCTTCCCTCGACATTCAGTGACCAAGACGTCATTTTAAAACAGTCCTGGGAGACTTGCATTTTCCCACAGTTTACTGGAAAAGGAAATTAGAAATCGGAGTGATTTCTGCTTCCTATTGTCCCACATATTTTTCTCCTTAGTTTTTCTTTTATCCCTTGGTGCTGGAGATGAACCTAGGAATTCATGGATGCTCCTAATGGGTTATTCTTAGCGCCAACTGGGGTAGGGAGAGACACTGGGACAAAGGGAACCTGGGAGTTCTGTGAAGGGCAGAAGAGGCAGGTGGGAAGTAGACATCAGGACTCAAGGAAGACTTTGGAGGGGACAAGGTGGGTTCTGGGTTCTGTGTTTAAAAAGAAATGAGCGCCTTCCAAGGCGGGGATGGCCTGGTTGTGAAGACGACTTGCCCTCAACCTCTGTGTCTGTGGTTCATGCAGAAAGGATAGTCGTTTCTCATAAGGCGGATTCAAACAAAGCTACTTTCCTTTGGATATCTGTGTCAAGGTCACCTGCCTGCTTCAGTTTCTGGCTTCCTCTCTTCTCTGGTGCAGCCATGTTGGTCTCCTGAGGTTCTGGAAAGCGCCATGCTGTTCCTCACCAGGGGCCTTTGTGTTTGCCTTGTGCCTGAAACACTCCTCCTGCTGGATCCCTTAAATCTCAGCATAAAGCTCACTCACTCAAGGAGGCCTTGTCTGATCCCTGCCACCAGGCCAGATCTCTTCGCGTCAGGTTCACACTTCCTTGGAACTCTCATCACTTGTGGGGCGTCGGGATCATAGAATTGTGGGACATCATCTCATCCCATGAGATATGGTCTCTCTCTTGTGGGTATGGGGCCACCCTCAGATTAGATTTAGCTAATGTAAAGGTGACCGAATGCGCCTGATCATCAACTCTTGATAGGATCAGGGGATAAAATACTATGGGTGCTGTTTTTCCAACACAGAAATGCAGAGGGCCCCTGTGTCATGGTCCCACCCTGGTTGCATGGGAGAGAATGGTCAGCATTCTGGATGAAGCTGTCTTTCCTCCTGCCCCCAAGTAGGATGGTGACTGTGCAGAGGCCTCTGTTGGAGCATGACAAGACTACGAACTCAGGAAGTTGGGGAGGGATTTTTCTCCCCCCACTAACAGAGAAAACCTGCTTCCCAGATTGCAGGGAAGAGTTGGAAAGATTAATTATGCCTGTTGTGCAACCCTTTAGAAATTTCTTTTCTTTTTTCTTAATTTATAGGCAAGAACTGGGAAAGGCATTCTTATTTGGGCTGCAGTATTTGCAGCAAATTGGAGAGATGAATCTAGGAAAGATGAATCTTGGAAAGATGGGTCCAGAAAAGATTCTTTGTAGCAGGATCAGAATCTGCAGCTTGGTAGCTGAGCTGTCAGGGGGCACTCTGCTCAGTAGTGTCAAGATGATCCTGGAAAACTTCACAGAATTTTGCAAAAACACTTGCTTCACATATCCCAGGGCCATGTGAATGTCCTGTCAGCATTATTTGAAGCTTATGAGATAATTTTTATTTTTTTGGTTGCCAGCAGAAAGCATCTGGTTTTGCAAAGCTGGGACAATATGGCATTTACATGGTCATTTGATGCCTGGTTGGTCAGAGATGTGAGAATGACTGAGGGAACCCCTAGGTCTTGATGGTTGTACCATAGTAATGGTGGTTTTTCTAATGGATGAGATCCAGAAATAAGAAGACATCACAACCCCGCCCCCCCCCCCTTAAGTTTTAGAAAACTAACTTCAGGGAGAGTTGTTCATGCTATATCCACAGAATTGGCTGAAATTTTGAATTCAGTCTGTTTAACACTTCAGTCCTTATTTTGACAAGAGAAATTCCCTAGTGTTGGCATTTAGGAATGTGTACTGTGTTTTTGCTGACCACATAAATATCATGGCTCCCTTGAGGAAAAACCTTCCCCTGTCAGGCAGAAGGTAATATTCTAAAGTCCTGCCTTGCTCATAACTCAAGATCTGGTTCCTCAAAATATTGTTCCTAAAGTGCTATCTCTGGGAGGCTGCCTAAGGCAGCAGAGAAGAGCTGGCCTGAAATGAGAGTCAGGGGTCCACTTCCAGCCTCACGGCTCTGTAGCCGCATACAAGGATAAGTGTCTTCTCCTATTTGGAGCCCACCTTCCTCCCTGTAAGATGATGAAGCTGAAATTCCTTTTACCACTAATGTCCCACAATCTAGGATCTAGGAACTGGAGGTAGCAATGCAGCTTGGTGCTAGAAAACAAAGCATCTGTCCTGTTATGGACTGAATTGTGTTCCTTCAAAATCGGTGCATTAAAACCCTACACTCCAGTGCATTTGTATTTATAGATGAGGTCTTCAGGGAGGTAGTCAAGGTTAAATGAGGAGTGGAGTTAAGTGTGGAACCCTGTTCCAGCAGGACTGGTGGTATTATAAGAAGAGGAACAGCAGAAATCTCTCTCTCCCTTTCTCCATGAGTTCCCAGAGGGAAGGCCCTGCAGTGACTCAGTAAGGTGGCTGTCTTCAATTGGAGAGAGAATCTTCACCAGACAACCAGATCAAGCCTGTTGATCTTGGACTTCCAATCTCCAGAACTGTGGGAAAGTTCATTTCTGTTGTTCAGGCCCCAGCTCGTGGTACTCTCTGAGGCAGTCTGAGCAGACTGATGTGCCTTCGCATCCCTTTGGGGCTAGACTCTGATTTATTGGTCTGTGGCCTCTGTGGGAGTTTGTATTTAACTTTTTCCATTGGCAAAGGAACAGCAAAATAAATTGGACTCTGGAAAAGAAGATACTCTATTGCTTTGGAATTTATAGGGCCATGTCAATCAGGGCCCCAGTGAAGAGGTCTTTCCCAAGGTAGAGTCATTAATATCTCTGGGGTGTTTTCTCTGACACCAGGGGGGGTGTCTGACAATGTAGTTCAATTCTTCTACCATTGACTTGGAGTTATAAGAATCTGTAAGTTAAAGAGCTCAGTTGCATAAGACTTCCTCCACCTCAGATGCCAGTTACAAGTCCCAGGCCACCCATATTTCTGACTGACTGCCTGTAAATCACGAATTCTCATGACCCTTTCCTTAGGTTTAGTAATATGCTGGAATGGCTCACAGAACTCAGGAAACCATTTTCCTTATGTTAACTTGATAAAAGGATCCAAGTGGGAATGGCCAGATGGAAGAAATGCATAGGGCAAGGTACAGGGCATGTGTGGCATGGGCTTTCCATGCCTTTTGCAGGAATACCTCCCTGTAGCACCTCGATTTGTTCACCAACCAGAAAGCTCTCCAAACCTTCTTGCTCTAGAATTTGTGTAATACCATTCCTATTCCTCTGCCCCTACCCTAGAAGTTGTTGGGTGAAGCTAAAATTTCCAACTCTCTAATTTCTTAAATTTTCTGGTAACCAGCTCCTTCCTGATGATATCTAGGGATCCTATCCTTAGTCCCCTCCTAGTAAAAAAATCAAATGTACGGGAAGGAACTCATTACCTATAACAGAAGACATTCTTATCACTCAGAAAAAAATCATGTGTTTAGGTATTCTATGCCAGGAACTGGGGAAAAGACTAAATAAATGTCTTATTATAGCTTAATATCCAGCATGGATCATGCCCAGTCTTGGATGATCCTCTTGTACTGGTGTGGAAGAGCCTGTAGAGCTACCCTCTGAGCAAAAATTGGGCTTGAAAACCTTCAAATGATGTTGTTATTCACTAAAGAATTTTTCTGGGGCTTCTGCTGAAATAGCTTGATTGTGGGGCACTGGGTAGATTGGGCAGATATGGAGCAAGTGGACTATAGACTTCTGAGTTTCAGAAGGGAGGTCTGTTCTGTCACCCTAAAGACCTAGATCACAGGACAAAGAATGTGGAGGTGGGATAGCTGAGTGGCCATGGCTTCTCTTCCTTTGAGAGTTCCCTGTTTGAGCTCAGCACTGCTTGGACAGCAAATGACCTCTCAAAACCGACCTATTCAAGGAGCAAGGTGGGTACTGAAGTACCAGAATAACAGTACATGTTACTCAAGTCCGAGGACTTGATATAAACCCTGAGCTTTCTGTGAGCCCATAGTAGATCCTGGCCGGAACATTTTGGTGGGAAAAAGATATTGATATTGCATAGTGGGGTGGAGAATGCAGGGTCCAGCGACAGCTGTAGCTTCCTGTGAATGCGTTGAGCTTGACCCTGCTGGGAGGGTCATGCATGTGCCAGGCTGACCCCATACCAAGGCAGTGTACTTCAAGACCTGCAGTCAAGTCTTATTCACTCCCATTCATGTCTAATTTAGAAAGAGACCACATTGAACTCTGACTTCATATTGTCCTCTGAAAGCTATTGTGTTAAGCTAATCAGAATAAATTATTTCCTTTCTCTTTTAGCCAGCATGGACACATCTACAGCGAGTTCATTCTGTCACTCCAAAACTACTCTCTGGGGAATCTTCAAGGTGAAGGATTTTTCTTGTCTCCAAGAAATGCTGCAGAAGTTTTAAAAATTATTATTATTATTATCATCATCATATTGGAGATCGAACCCAGGCATTCACTAGCTACATCCCCAACCCTTTTTATTTTTTGAGACAGGGTCTTGCTAACTTGCTGAGGCTGGTCTTAAACTTGCCATCCTCCTGCCTTAGCCTCCCAAGTCACTGGGATTACAGTTTTGTGCCACCACACTTGTCAAGAAAAACATTTTTAAAAGTAGGTACCTCTTACTATTTTATGTTTTTGAAAGTTTGTTATCTATGGGTTATATAGAGATTTTCTATATCCAGAATACTTCATTTTTCAGCTCTTCAGGGAATTTATTGTATAGATACATACAAGATTGCTTAGGTATATTATTTCTATATAAGAGAATAAATTCTTCAGGCACATTAGAAGCATTTTTTAAAAACAAGATTACCTTGCTCGTGAAAAATTTGTTATTTTAAATTGTCAAATAATAATTATGTATATTTATGGGGTATAATTTGATGTTTTGATCTGTGTTTACATTGTACAAAGATTCAATCAAGTTAATTTACGTATCTATCACCTTACCAATTTATCAAATATCCAAAGAATATAACACTCAGAATTAATTGGATACTATGTGAACATGTAGTATAACATTTTTGCAAATGTATAGATATTGAAGCCTGCATACAATTTATGTCTGAATTCTGCCCAGACCTTAGTGGTACTCTATATGGGTACTCTATATGGGATGTATCCTTGCTAAAATTTTGTTAACATTAATTTCTTAGAAACAACTTGTCTGCAACCACTTATTTGAATACCTCTAGAGTTACTTTAACAGCAATAGGAGCCTTATTCAAAACAGACCAAGAGAAAGACCCAAGGGATCACAGATTTTAGGTTTGTGATTTCAAATGGTCACAGTTGATGGGCACCTATTGCTTATTCTTTGTTGACATTTGCACATCCAGTACAGTACAGTTAGCTGCTCTGATCTTTTTTATGCTTCACTTAACAGGTGGCTGTGTGCACCTATTTGTATCTCCTAACAGCTAACTCTGCTTCAGTTGCCTTCTCTTGGGGGCTGAGATATCAAATTTCACTTTCCCCCATAAAAGGGCCAGCTCTTAGGTGGGAGATCTAATCAAGAGGAGTTAAAACTCTTTTATTCCCCCTTAGGCTCAGAGAATCTGTCAGAATTCTTAGATGTAGACAACACAAACTCACTGATTTAAACCTGTTCATTGAAATGACAATGGGTTGCTTATTCATTACTGGGAGAGTTGGAGAGCCAGGCTCAGAGTTCCAGCAGCAGGGCACCATACCCCAAATCATGCTACAGAGCACTCTAGTGTAGACACAATTCCCCTGTCCAGGCTGGATTCTATGCTCTGCCACCAACACAGCAGACTGTCTGCTTCAGATGCTGGATGGACACAAAGCGCAGCTACTGTTGCCATGGAAACGCGATCTTACTGCAAGTGGCACTGCCTCTGGAGTGAGCCTCAGAGTTGCTGCTTCTTTGTGTCGCTAGCACCTGATTTGAACCTCAGGGTGGGTGCTTCCAATTGGTAGATCCTAGATCCTGTGCCATAGCTGCCTGCAAAGGAGGCTGGGAAAGGTAGCATCTGGCAGTTCAGCGTCTGCTGGAAAGTGGGCTCTGCCTTCCCTGAGGAGCCATAAGAAAGGCAGCTCTCCACACAAGCAGGAGTTTTAGAGGGTAGGCAGCCAGAAGGAATGACAGCTGTCTGTGATGTGGACCAAACTGTCCACCTTTTGCCCCCACAAAGAGAATTAAAAACCTTGCTGCATACAGATTATTAAAAACCAAATCAAACCAAAATAAAAACTGACAATCCTAGCCGTGGTCTCAAAGGGGAGCTTTATTCCTTTATTGTTTACTTTAGAAAATTCTCAATGCTGTGAGAATTATTTCAAGTATAATTATTTAAAGTTTTTTAGATTAGAAGTTTCAGCTTCATTCAACTATTTTCTTTAAGGGAATTTTATTCTGCACGCCCCTCTTGAAACCTACATTATTGATATGATGTGGTATTGGGTTAGAATGGATTATTTTCTATTCATAAAAGTTTCTAATTTGTACATAGAGGCTATATTTCTAGAATATATTTCATTTCAGAGAGCAATCCCTGTGTTCCTGAAATGAGATCTTGTTGATCAGGAGAGCTTCAGTCTTTAAAACTTCTATGGGAATAATTAGGCTGACCCAATTAGCCAGCTTCTCTTGGGATTTTATAAAATGTCAGAAATAGAGCCAATTGGGCCACTTCTATTTAGATTTTTTTTAAAGGTGTTATCTCTCACTAGACATGCACTGTGTCACTTTGTCACCTAAGGTTTCCAGTTCACTCTTGCACAGAGGTGCAGTCTCAGAGTACAGGGCATGTGGCATATTGGTGAGAAGAGGAGGAGAGGGATGTGGCGGGAAGAGTGAGAGACCAGGGAACAGAGCTTCCTAAACTGTGTCATCTAGGCCATTTTTGCCCTCCACTGAGCAACCTTTCAGCCTAGACCCATGATGTTGGCCAGGTTATTTCAGACAGTTGTTCAAATTAGTTCAACATTGTAACAAATGAACAGGGGGATCATTCTACTAAGATTTCCACCTTCTCATTGATGACAGCACTTCTTGATCAAGAACGCCTAGGGAATAGAAAAATGAGGTAAATAAAACGAATCACCTTGTATACTTAACTTACAGCATTCATTAATTAGTGCATCAATTAATTCTATAACCATTTACTAAAAGCCTAGTATTCCTAGGGTCTATGCTGAGTGCTTTGCATTTATTATCTCATTAAAAAAATCCCTCCATTCTTGGTGGCTGAATGTGATGTGGAGTTTCACTGGTCATGTATTCATATGTGAAAATGAGAATGGGATCAAAATTGTAATGGATTACACCCCATGTTTGTGTAATATGTCAAAACACACCTTGCAGTTTTGTCAATCTAAAAAGAACAAATTAAAAAAATTAATTAATGTTAACAAAAATTTTAATAATCTAATCTTGTGAAGTCAATATAACCACACTTCCCTGAAGTAATGAAGCTTGGAGAATTTAAGAACCAGAACTAGACTTCGACTCCACATCACTTGAATTCCAAACTTTGTGATTGTAGTCACTGTCTCTGTGACTTTTGATGCTCTGGACCTTGAAGAGGCTGGCAGGCCATTTCTGTCCTCAGAGGTTATTGAACATTAGAAAAGAAAAGAGACACTACCATGGAGTGTGACCTGTAATACTGGTATATACTGGAGTCCAGAGGAGTGGCCTCCCGTCTGAGGTCTAGGTGGGAAGGAGGTTCAGGAAGGCTTCTTTTAGGAAGTAAAACTTGATTTAGGTGATAAAGATGAGCAAGTCATTTTAGCAGGAAGAGCATGTGTAAAGGCATGAAGATGTGAGAATCTGTTGGCATGACTGATATGGAGGGTGAAGGGTGTGTGAGAAACAGAAATGTGGCAGGCAGGGAGACTAAAACAAAGTTAGAAGGATATACAGGGATAGTGCATGTGAGAAACAGTTGTAGATTTGGAGAGCTACTTCAGAAGGGGAGTCAACAGAACTTGGTGACTGATAAGATGTGGGAAATGAGGGATGCATTGATTCTTTATTTTATTAATGATATTTAATAAATGTATGCTTTAAACAGACACTGCTCTGAGTGCTGGAAATAACAGTGGAAGAGAGTTCATCCCTGCCCGTGAGTTGTACAGTGAATGAGGAGGGAAGGATCAAAGGTATTACAGATTTCTACTTTCGATGAAGGGGACAGGGAATTTAGAAGAAGCAGTAGGTTGATGTGGAAAGATGCTTAGTCTTTGGAAGGTTTCAGTTTGACATTTCTTCACAAATATTCATGGGCCCATATGAAGCCTATATGATTTGTCAATGAAAATTTAGAACAATTGGTAGAGTAGAGGTACTTATTTGTTCATTTGATGTACAATCAATGCACATTGAAGATTTCTGTTCAGGTCCAGAAACTATCTCTTCATTGTCAAATGCACCATTTCTGGCTAATTTTGTCTCTTCTGCCATGAGGAAAAGGTAGGAAGGCTGCTATTATCACGATCCTATGGCTCTTCAGATTTTTGTTGGAACAATATAGATCTCCCAGCCTCTGCAGTTTCCTACTCCCATTTATTTAATGCTCATTAAATAAAGCATTTTTACTTACACTGCACCATCTCCCAGGATGCCTGTGAATATTGGCTTCCAATGGCCAGCTCAAAAGTTGTTACTGTGCTTCAGTGATGACCACAAATGCAAGCCTTGCCCAGAGTAAGCAGGAAAGTATGATTGATCATTTGTTTTCTGGTTATATTCAGAAATTTATTATGTAATGTGGAATAACACACCTTCCAACCATGTTTTCTTTTGAACATTTTAGAGAGCAATCACTGTGTTCCTGAAATGAGATCTTGTGGATCAGTGATTGCATCCCTACCTTCCATGCATCCACTCCTGTGAGTTGAGTGGGCAGGAGGTCTCATGGGAAGATGAGAGGAGTGGACTTATTCACATATAAAATGTGTGTCCATGCCAGGCATGGCTTAACACTGAAACTGGGAGAGCATGATGTCACCACATCAATTGAAAGCAAGAAAGAATATCATCACTTGGTGCAAACACTAGTGAAGAGGTATGGAGTGTAAAGTGCCAAGTACCTGTCTTCTCTCCTGCTTCCCTCAGTGTTGTAACAGATTAGAACACAGAGAGGTAAAAACCTAGGTCGGGATTGGGAAGGCGGCGGCGAATAGAGTGCATCACCCCTGTGTACCGCGTCACTGCGCAGGTGAATAACAAGTTAGAATGACCAAAAGCTATCTTGATAGGAATTTACAGCAAAATTGGGGTGCACCGAAACCTAGAGGAAGGATTTCCATCACCGAGGACCGGTTACTGGGTCTCAACCGCAAGTGAACTGTGCGCCCGGAGATCCAAGCTGATTGATCCAAGGCCCTAACTGCAGCTAGAGATGGAGGGGCGCCGAGAAGCGGCCAGCAACGCAGAGAAATGGCACTGCGGATTCTGAGGAGTCCTGCCGGCTGTGCCCTCACTGAGCTCCGGGCTGAGTTCGGGGTTTGAGAAGGGGAAGGAAGCGGTCCAGTTCTGTGCCCCACACCGGACAGCCCACCAAGGAAGCCAGCGACCACCATCTTGGAGAGCTGACGTCACCATCGCCAGTTTCCGACAGATCGCCACAATAGAACAGGTGTGTGTTATTCAGCCCATCTCCCATACAGTGGGGAATTCGCATAAAATCTCTCCCTCGCTTTCCGGGGGAGGGATTATCAGAGTGAGCGTGGATGGAGGCGTGGGGAAAGGTAAAGGCACCTGACCTCCAACTCCCCCTCCCATCAGCAGCGAAAACGAAACCTGTCTTGCCAGCTCTGGGGGAGTGGCAAGCGGAAGGAATCAAACAATAAGGTGCCTGTTCCCAATAGCCACGCTCCACACCCAGCAAACTGCAGGCCCAAAGTATAGTTTGAACTGCCGAGTGGCATCACACTGGGGAAGGCCTGGCTAGCAGGAGAAGCCAGGGGAATAGAGGCCAGGAATAAACTGAAGCTAACAGGTTTTTGAGAGACACCAGAGGTGGGGGGGGGGGGTGGGGGGGAGGAGGGAGCAGCCTCACAGGGATTGTATCCTACAGCCAGAGGGCAAAATCTTGGCCCAGAAGGCACAGCACCACCTACTGGAAGCGAAGAAAATAGAAGCCTAACAGTGCCTTTTTTTTTTCTTGTTTCATTTTTTTAATTCTTTAATTTTTTAATTTTAATTTTTTTTCTTTTAATTATTTTTTTTCAATTGTAATTTTTTTCAATTGTAATTTTTATTTTACTGCATTTTATTATTATTATTATTTTTATCATTTCTTTTCATTTCTCTTTCTTTATTCTCTCCCTCTCTCTTTCTTGGTTTGTGTCCTTACCTTTTCCCCATCTTTCCTCTTAAGCATGAACACCCAGATTATGTATAACTTACTAAATGCAAATAGATGAATACTACGAATAGGTCTATAGTCCCCCTAAGCCCTTAACTACCCCCAAGTACTCCTGTCTATTCTCTTGTTAATATCTGCCTGCATTTGAACAACCCCCCAAAGAAGCTAACATATACTAACCTCCACACCATCAAATCGCCCGACCTTAACATTAAATCCTAAGTCCAAACCTCAATTCTCTATATGCCATCAAAATCTGAAGGCCTTTAATGAAACTAATGAATTTACCTTAAATCACAATTAAATCCAACATCTCTAAACATTGTCTCCTAACACAAAGGAGAGATAGCGGAACTATAAAAACCAAAACAAATTTAAAGGAGAAAACAGAAACCTAGCAGTCAGAGTTGGAAAGTAACTTGAGCACCATGAAAAAACAAGGGAAAAAAGGATTACAAACAATGCAGGACAACTTAAATACACAGGAGAACCTAGAGGCATCAGAAAAATGGACAGAGAAAGAACTCAAGGCATACCTAACTCAAATGGAATGGAATATTAGAGAAGACATTAGACAGCAAGTCCAAGCAATGAAAGTATATTTTGAAAACGAATTAAATAAACAAATTCAAGTGGCAAAGAACAAGCTCTACCAGGAGATAGAGATTAAAAAAAAATCAAACAGTAATCCTAGAAATGCAGGAAACCATAAACCAAATTAAAAACTCAAACGAGAATATTACAAATAGACTAGATCAAGTAGAAGTCAGAACATCAGATAATGAGGACAAAGTTTATCAACTTGAAAAGAATATAGTCAACACAGAAAGGATGCTTTAAAACTCACGAGCAATCTATCCAAGAGATATGGGATGTCATAAAAAAACCAAACTTGAGAGTCATTGGGATAGAAGAAGGTATAGAGGTTCAAACCAAAGGAATGGACAACCTATTGAATGAAATAATCCTAGAAAACTTCTCAGATATGAAAGATGGAATGGATTGCCAAATCCTGAAAGCCTACAGGACCCCAAACATTCAAAACCGTAATAGACCAACTCCAAGATACATAATTATGAAGATATCCAACATACAGAACAAGGAGAGAATATTAAAAACTTCGAGAGAAAGGAGGCAGATTACATTCAGGGGTAAACCAATTAGGTTAATGGCTGATTTTTCATCACAGACGTTGAAAGTGAGAAGATCCTGGAACAACGTATTTCAAACGCTGAAAAATAATGGATTCCAACCAAGAATACTGTATCCAGCAAAATTAAGCTTCAGATTTGACAATGAAATTAAAATATTACATGATAAACAAAAGGTAAAAGAATTCGCAGCCAGAAAACCAGCACTGCAAGGCATTTTGAGCAAAACACTACAAGAAGAGGAATTGAAAAAACAGCACCCAAAACTAATAGTGGGAGGTAACTCAGTAAGGGGAAGGAAAAAAAAATAACCAAAAAGGAAAAACTAGCCATATTAAAATAAATAAATAAACAAGCAAGACGGGAAGTACAAACCATATATCACTAGTAACCTTAAACGTTAATGGTTTAAATTCACCAATCAAGAGACATAGGCTAGTAACCTGGATTAAAAAAAACAAATCCAACAATATGCTGCCTTCAGGAGACTCATATGATAGGAAAAGACATATACAGGCTGAAGGTGAAGGTTGGGAAAGATCATACCACTCACATGGTTCTCAGAAGCAAGCAGGAGTGGCCATACTCATATCGAATAAAATCAACTTCAAACCTAAGTTAATCAAAAGGGATAAAGAAGGACACTATATACTGTTAAAAGGAACCAGCCACCAACAAGACATAACAATTATCAATATGTATGCACCAAACAATGGTGCTGCAACGTTCATAAAACAAACTCTCCTCAAGTTCAAGAATCAAATAGACCACAACACAATAATTATGGGTGACTTCAACACACTGCTCTCTCCATTGGACAGATCCTTCAGACAAAAGCTGAATAAAGAAACTATAGAACTCAATAACACAATCCATAACCTAGACTTAACCAACATATGTAGAATATATCAACCATCATCAAGTAGATACACGTTCTTCTCAGCAGCACATGGATCCTTCTCAAAGATAGACCATATATTATGCCATAGGGCAACTCTTAGTAAATATAAAGGTGTGGAGATAATACCATGCATCTTATCTGATCATAATGGAATGAAACTGGAAATCAATGATAAAAGAAGGAAGGAAAAATCCTGCATCACCTGGAAAATGAACAATATGTTACTGAATGATCAATGGGTTACAGAAGACATAAAGGAGGAAACCACAAAATACTTGGAGATAAATGAAAATACAGACACAACATATCAGAATATATGGCACACAATGAAAGCAGTTTTAAGAGGGAAATTCATTTCCTGGAGTTTATTCCTCAAAAAAAGAAAAAAACCAACAAAAAAAATGAACTCACACTTCATCTCAAAACCCTAGAAAAGGAAGAGCAAAACAATAGCAAATGTAGTAGAAGGCAAGAAATAATTAAAATCAGAGTGGAAATCAATGAAATTGAAACAAAAAAAAAACCATTGAAAAAATTGATAAAACTAAAAGTTGGTTCTTTGAAAAAATAAATAACATCGACAGACCCTTAGCCATGATAATGAAGAGAAGAAGAGAGAGAGCTCAAATTACTAACATATGGGATGAAAAAGGCAATATCACAACGGACACTACAAAAATACAGAAGATAATTAGAAATTATTTTGAAACCCTATATTCCAATAAAATAGAAGATAGCGAAGATATCGATAAATTTCTTCAGTCATATGATTTGCCGAGATTGAGTCAGGAAGATACACACAATTTAAACAGACCAATAACAAAGGAGGAAATAGAAGAAGCAATCAAAAGACTACCAACCACGAAAAGCCCTGGACCGGATGGGTATACAGCGGAGTTTTACAAAACCTTCAAAGAAGAATTAATACCAACACTTTTCACGTTATTTCAACAAATAGAAAAAGAAGGAGCTCTTCCAAATTCATTCTATGAGGCCAACATCACCCTGATCCCAAAACCAGACAAAGACACTTCAAAGAAAGAAAACTACAGACCAATATCTCTAATGAACATAGATGCAAAAATCCTCAATAAAATCCTGGCGAATTGAATACAAAAGCATATCAAAAAAATTGTGCACCATGATCAAGTAGGATTCATCCCTGGGATGCAAGGCTGGTTCAATATATGGAAATCAATAAATATTATTCACCACATCAATAGACTTAACCATAAGAACCACATGATCATATCGATAGATGCAGAAAAAGCATTCGACAAAGTTCAGCATCCCTTTATTTCAAAACATTAGAAAAACTAGGGATAACAGGAACTTACCTCAACATGGTAAAAGCTATATATGCTAAGCCTCAGGCTAGCATCATTCTGAATGGAGAAAAACTGAAGGCATTCCCTCTAAAATCTGGAACAAGACAGGGATGCCCTCTCTCACCACTTCTATTCAATTTAGTCCTCGAAATACTAGCCAGAGCAATTAGACAGACAAAAGAAATTAAAGGCATAAAAATAGGAAAAGAAAAACTTAAATTATCATTATTTGCAGATGATATGATATTATATCTAACAGACCCAAAAGGGTCTACAAAGAAACTACTAGAGCTAATAAGTGAATTCAGCAAAGTGGCAGGATATAAAATCAACACACATAAATCAAAGGCATTCCTGTATATCAGCAACAAATCTTCTGAAATGGAAATGAGGAAAACCACCCCATTCACAATATCCTCAAAAAAAAAATAAAATACTTGGGAATCAACCTAACAAAAGAGGTGAAAGATTTATACAATGAAAACTACAGAACCCTAAAGAGAGAAATAGAAGAAGACCTTAGAAGATGGAAAAATATACCCTGTTCATGGATAGGAAGAACTAACATCATCAAAATGGCGATATTACCCAAAGTTCTCTATAGGTTTAATGGAATGCCAATCAAAATCCCAATGGCATTTCTTGTAGAAATAGATAAAGCAATCATGAAATTCATATAGAAAAACAAAAGACCCAGAATAGCAAAAGCAATTCTAAGCACGAAGTGTACTACAGAGCAATAGTAACAAAAACAGCATGGTACTCGTACCAAAACAGGTGGGTGGACCAATGGTACACAATAGAGGACACAGAGACCAATCCACAAAATTACAACTTTCTTATATTTGATAAAGGGGCTAAAAGCATGCAATGGAGGAAAGATAGCATCTTCAACAAATGGTGCTGGGAAAACTGGAAATCCATATGCAATAAAATGAAACTGAATCCCTTTCTCTCACCATGCACAAGAGTTAACTCAAAATGGATCAAAGAGCGTGATATCAAATCAGAGACTCTGCGCCTGATAGAAGAAAAAGTTGGCTCCGATCTACATATTGTGGGGTCGGGCTCCAAATTCCTTAATAGGACACCCATAGCACAAGAGTTAAAAACAAGTATCAACAAATGGGACTTACTCAAACTAAAAAGCTTTTTCTCAGCAAGAGAAACAATAAGAGAGGTAAATAGGGAGCCTATACCCTGGGAACAAATCTTTACTCCTCACACTTCAGATAGAGCCCTAATATCCAGAGT